CCCCAAAACCCCAAAACCCCAAAACCCCAAAACCCCAAAACCCCAAAACCCCAATCAAACATTTCATGATGAATAAATATTATTGTAATTACCGAACAAAAATGGACAGCACTGGCAAAGTAAAGAGGGTAAAACTAAGCAGCATGAAGGCTAATAAATTCAGGTAAGACTCTATCTTCATGATTTGGGAAGAAGATCAGTGCAAACTGATTGGTAGTTTTTAGCCTGGAAGGTTCATGTGGCCTAATGTGGGCATTGGAATTTGTTAATTCAGGAAGTACTTCGACTTTTTACCACCAGAGTCACAAATGGGCAGTAAATTTCACTTCTCAATAGCCTTATTGAGGAGCTTTTAGATGCTTTAGTTAAAAATCTTAATTATGAATAAATCCAAATGTTCCATATATTTTACATACTATTTATTGCTTACTTCAGGGCTACTGAGCATCTCTAGGCACCATTATGGGTTTGCTCTACGCTATCCTCAGCATAGAGGAACAGTCACTAATCTTGAGCTTTTGCCCTCAATGATCTAACTGCCTTTAAAATTTATCAGAAACTTCAAAAAGTGCCTTAAGCGCCTTTTTGGACCAAGACTGACAGGCCAGATCTGCTTGTGTGGCAAACAGTTCTGTTCTAAGATATTATCAGGGTGCTTTCCAATGATAAATTTTAGAAGTTGCCTTAAGAATTTTCTGAAATTTCTTTGAAACAATTTTCTAAAATTCATCACTCAAATCTTATACTTATAAAAATATGGATATAGGTCAGGAAGCAAACTCAAAAGAGTGGTGATCAATAAAAAAGAGATCGGGAAGCTCCCATATGGCTTATCCAAGGCCAGGATTCTGCAGAATATGACTCCAGAGGTAAGCTCAGTCAGGATCGAAGCATCTGAGGCACGAAGTGCATCAGATGCTGTCGAGTTCTACTCACTGTTTCTGATGATTGTGGGCTCAGTTTTATAAGATTTTTGTAATATCACGATATCATATTTGTATGCCAATTAATAGGTATTTCCAACAAACCTTGAGAATACGCCATGTACTTTAGTAAAGTGACAGTTATGACCTAGAGAAGCTAGATTTAGACAAAGATTTTTGTGCTTTGAGCTTGCCAATTTATGCTGTGCTTCTCAATAAATTTATATAAAAATTGTTGCTAACCAGAGCGAATTTACTCAACTTATGTAAGGACTCGAGCATAGCCAGGATCGTCTGGTGGTGGAGCCTAAAAGCTGTAGAGCAAAGGCGCTATAAGAAACAGTACCAGTTTTGTAAATTCCATTGTATTGGCTGCTTCAAAATGTCATCTCTTGGGAGCTTTATTCGACCAACTTCTCCAACCTAGTTGGAGAAAATTTCTTTTCTTTCCCAAAATCTTTTCTAAATATCGGACAAGAACAGGAAAAGTATATAATTGCACTAATTAGTGCATGGTAAATCTCTAAGGACGAATTGGAAAAATACGATTTGTCCCGTATTTCTCATTTTTAATTTCTTTAAGTTCAATTTCACTCATTCGATTCCAATCTTTGATCGGACCTATTCCGAATGACCAAATTCAGCACGATTAGCAGGGTCTTCACCAATGAACGGTGTATGAGGGGTCTCTAAAAGCAGTAACTGATGTCTGTTATAGGTAAAGAAACCTCTGAGGACCAAGAGCCGCTTTCTTGAACCGATAGAGATGAAAGCTCCATCCCGAAAGCATTCCAATAGTGACGAAATAAACTACCTAAAGAAGGAGATCTCAACTTTGATAACCAAGCTAGGGATTTCGGAGGTAATGAAGGACCCAGAGAAAGCTATCAAGCTAGACGAAGCTCTGAGGTAATTTGAGCTCCTAAGAGCTAGTTGGGCATGTGCATTAATGGCTGAGTTTTATATCAAATTTTACCCAAAATTTCTTATTCAAATTGCTACTAGTATCTCATGAAGCCCGATTCAAAAGGCTTTATGTCACTCTGATTATCTTTAGAGTTTCCAAGTTTTTGCTGTCATTATCTCTAAACCTTCATTGAACTTATGTATAGTAAGAATAAACTGACTGGAGGGGTCAGAAGCAGGTTGAGAAATAACAAATCATTTGATCACGTTGAATCCCGAAATCCGAAGAAATTAAGTATGTCTCCTCTTATTTCTCAGAATTTCGCAACAAATGACCAAACTTAGAAGTCTATTTGTTAAGTCTTTCTTTATCCATAAGTTTGCTTGAAGTGCAATGACATAACTGATGACTATAGAGCCCCTTAATATCAACATTAGGGACCATATTTCAAAATTTCAGAATAGAATGCATTCAAACAAAAGAACTTCTCCTACCGAAAATGTCATAAAAATTGACGAAAACAAGGACATGTTCTATGCCGATGGGGAGAGATGGAAGGTAGAGAAGCTTGAGAAAGGCACCAGCTGGAAAAAGAGGTTCCAGATGATGTACAGAGCCAAGATGCAAAGGTTAGATAACAAGGTAACACTTCACCCACTTGTTCGGAAGAGTAACCACTTTTCTATAGATCAAAGCAACTCCTGCATATCAAGACTACAGATCGGTAAGCTTCTCTATAGCCCACCAGTTTCTTATTTTTGATAGATCATGAAGGAAGACTCAATCATGGGAAGAAGGAGAGTTCTCCACTCAATCTATGATACAATTGATGAGTCCTTTAAAGACAAAGACAGTAGCATCGACAAAGACCTGATCAAGACTGACCACTTTATAGAATCTCTCAGTCAGATGACAAAGAATTTCTCTTCAAAGCTCTTCCTGAAGATGCCTCTCGAGAAGATGCTTGAGCATTTTAAAGACCCAGCCTGGCTTGAGGAAAGCGATGATGAAGACCTCTTCCCTCTCTTAATGGGCGGGAAGAAGTCTAAGAGGAAGAGTGCCAATAAATCCTCAAGGAAAAGGATCAACTCAAAAGGCAGAAACAGTGGTAAGCTCTAGTACGATGAAACATAGTTGCCAAATCCTCACAAGGCCGTAAGCTCTCAGATGCTCCATATTTAATGAGCGAGAGTACCCAGCATTTGGAGGTTGAGAAGAAATCTCCTAGGAAGAAGAGCCATCAACTACTGCCAGAGATCAAACCAAAAGACGAGCTGCTGATAAATATCAACATTAAGGCCAAAAGAAAGGGCAGCAGGTTCTAGCGACCATTTGCTATTTATTTTTGTTTTTGACATTATTTTTATCCCCAAGAAGTTATTATTCAATAGAGAGAAGAGCTGCAGGGGTTTTGGGGTTTTGGGGTTTTGGGGTTTTGGGG